GCGCTAAAAAGTTCTTTTCAAGAGATCGCATTCGCGTCGGATAGGCGGAGTGCTAGAAATTCTTTTCACTCGGTGTGATATCTTTCTATCTCGGCGATTTTTGTGGCGCTTTAAAGGCTTCTTTGCAGAAGCATGGACAGAGATTGATGGAAAGGTACATTCTCGAGTTTGTCGGCTGACGAATTCTCTAGGCTTTTATGCTCACTCAACTTTCTCGATATATTCACACTGAGAACTAATCTGAGTATTCAAATATGTGTGTGATTAGCATCTTGAAAGAAAAAAAAACGAAGAAATATCTAACATAGGAAATGCAAGAGATTTTTTTCTAAAGCATTTCACATCGCAGGTGTATCTCTGTTAAAGTAATTTTATCTCTGAAATTACAATGTATATATATGTAGAAAAGTAATGAATTCTATAAAAATCAATTAAAGTGCCACGATTGAAATAAAAAACAGCTTTCGCGCCCACTTAAAAGTTTCATCGGCAGGATTAAGAAGAGATAAGCGGATCTCACGAAGAAAAAAAATCGCGATAAAGTTTCTCTCTCGACATACTTTTGCCCCGATCTTTTCCCTCCCGCTGGGCACTCATCTCGCCGAAAGCGAAAGCTTCTGTCAGACAATTCAGTAAGAAGTTTTGGACCCCTAAGGGCTCTTAATTATGTAGACATTAATACGCAATTGAAATCCCCTTCGTTAAATTTGTCCTTGCTTTCGCTCAACTTCGGCATTCAAAGGGAATATCTCCCCTAAATAAGAGGATGACGAGGGATGCGGCGAGTGCAGGTAGGATAACCGGAAATGGTCGGCACCCGCTCTCTCCATCCTCGTCTTTCGCTTTCAGCGAGACATTATTATTATCCGATACCGTTGTAACGCCGCCACAGGGTTTCCCTTCGTTTAACGGCGGCTTTCACGCTCTTATAGTCCGCCAAGTTTCGTGATAATTCATTCTATCCAGTTTCCGCCATCGCGCTGACACAAAGACCACGGAGATAGAAATGAACGGCGCGACGTGGAAATTTGCGTTCAAAGAAGACGATACAAGCTTCTCCCGCGATAAGAGGATATTTCCGCGGAGAAATTGGCACTTTAAAGCACGACAAGTCGATATTGCAGCCGTAGAGATTGCAGCCGATTTAATTTTTAACTCGGCATATTATTAGGGAATCAAATCGATATTCGGGGTGGCTTTGCCTCGGCCCCCCCCCCCCCAACATTTAGCATTTACGGGTCCGGGAGGAGCAGGTGACTTCTCGGACACGTCGTACGTCATATTCGAGCATAACACGCCACGGGGAAACTCGTAATTAATTGCAATCATTTTCGTGACCGTGGGGGCGCGCAGTAGGACGCCCGAACGATAAATCCTGGCCATTTCCGACGTCTGGAATCTGCGATGCGATAATCGTTCGCCGAGGGCTAAATGTCGTGTATCGATCGAGAGCGGGATGCGACTCCGCTCTCCGACGTCAGCATAAACCGACGAATAATATCTCCCGTTTCATAGGATTATACAGTTTACCGCGAAGATCCCAAGTTGAATATCTCCATTGTCCGAGTGTCTGCGGCACGGTCTATTTTTCCACTCCGCGAGTTTCTACTAGATATATTCCGTTCGAGATTTAATAATAATAATGCCTGTTCATTTCAACGGACGATTTATCACGAAAATCTTCGCGATCTATTACATCGCCGATCGAGTATTCAATTAATATCTAGCCATCACACAGTCCGCGTCCTATTTCCCCGTAGAGATTAATAACATTCGGGCGAAATTTAATAACGTACATTCAATTCGCGGCGTAACTTATTACGAAGATCTTCGCGATCTATCTGTCATGTTCTCTACGTCGAATATTCAGTTAACGTCTAACCCTCATGGTCCGCCCTATTTTCCGGCCGAGATCCATATAATATCCCGACGAAATTTCCATTTCCGAGAGGAACCACACGCTGGCAGTGATGAAATGAGTTCGCTCACCCGCCAGCGATTCTCCTCGGGGAGAGAGAGAGAGAGAGAGAGAGAGAGAGAGACGTAAGAAAAAAGAAGAACAAAAAACCGACGT